TTGATGATTTCAGTGTACCTCAGTTACATCTGTGTGATTGTCTCATCTGGTTTCATGTCGAACGTATTCTATATTCCCAAAAGATTGCTCATTTTTGTCCCTCTGGCTCTATTAATTAACTTCAAGTCTATCCCCGATATCTTTGGCTGTAATACATGAAGATATGCTCTTAAATTCAAAAGGAGATAAAAACAATTAAAGTTTTAGTATTAAGAGTTTGTCTTCTGGTCAATTCTTCTGGAGTGATTGTACTTATTGAAGGTGTTTGCTCTCTTTGGCTGTTACTTCCAGATGATACTGTTGGAAATACTGTTGTCTTGAGCAACGTATGGACCATTTCTCAATGATGTTCCACATTGAATAATCCGTTGATTGAATCTATACTTATCCTGCGTTTTCAGTAACTGTAATTAGTCCCATCAAAGTATGGAGGTCTTGTGGTGGATTGTCCATCAACAACACCTGGACCAATGATGTTAGCCATAATCCAAATCTTTATGCTCATAGATAGAACACTTCAATTCAACAAGCATTGGAGCTCTGATACTAATTGTTAAGGCTAACGTCCCACTTTCCCAGACTAACAACCACCAACAAGACTGAAATCCACTAATAATTTCGTAAGCAGTTACAACATAACAGTGATAGTGGTTGAATTCTCAACGTTTCACGAATTGATATCTTCACGTGACTCAATTTCTTTAGGAGTACCTTTAGTAACTTGTTCGCATTCATTACACTAGTATATACCTTTCCTTGACAGGCAAGACAATTGATGATTTCAGTGTACCTCATACACATTTGTGTGATTGTCTCGTCTGGTTTCATCTTGAACATTCCTATATTCCCAGAAAATTATCATTTTGGTCTTTCTAACTCTATCAATTCCTTCAAAGATAACTTCAAGTCTATCCAAGATTTCTTTGGCTGTACTACATGAAAAAACACGCTTTAATTAAGCCGGAGATAAAGCACAGTAGAAAACAAGTAAAGCTTAGGCATTAAGAGTTTGTTTTCTGTTCTTCTGGAGTGATTGTAGCCATTGGAGGTGTTGTTTATTCTGTTTGGCTTTCACTTCGAGATGATATTGTTGAAATAACTATTGTCACAATTTGAGCAGCATATGGACCATTCTCAATGATGTTTCACATGGTATAATCCGTTGATTGAATGTAGCCGCTCATCCTACATTTCCAGTAACTGTATAGTCCCATCAAAGTATGGAGGTCTTGTGGTGGATTGTCCTTCAACAATACTTGCACCAATAATGTTAGCCATAATCCAAATCTTTATGCTAATAAGAAAAACACTTCAATTTAACAAGCAATGAAAACTCTGATACCGATCGTGGAGCTAATTTTTCACTCTCCCGGACTAACAACTACCAACAAGACTCGAATTCACTAGTAGCCTCGTGAGTAGTTGCAACATAACACGTGCTGCTTCTACCCACAGCTGATAGATCCCAAAATCAGAACACAAGCACTGTTATCACACTTATACACTTTTTAATCATAGATAATAGTAAAAAAGAACTCATGATAGAGTGAAACACAAGTAATAGAGGCACGATTGCAGTAATCAAAGAGAACGTGACTATCAGTGTTGTAGCTTTCTCACTTTTCCTTCGATCCCTTTAGCTTGCTTTGATTCTCTTATATAAACCTTCAATCTCTAATTTAGCCGTTGGAGAATATTCAAGAAGATCAATTAGTCATTTGAATTTGATGAATACAATTACTGAAAATCTGATCGACCATACAATTAAATTTCTTGGAAAATGTAAAGTTTCTTTAAATTGAATATGTATTTTGTCAATCTTCCGGTCCTATGATTGAGTGAGGAATATAGGAATGAATTGATTTGATTAGTCTTCGATTCTTCTTTCGTGAATTAAAGAACTTGTGACTAACCGTTATATACCAATTAGAATTAAACTGGAAAGAGGTTTGGGTCTTTGTATTCATATAACACAATGAATGTCATAGATATAGTTGATATAGAGAGAACTATCTTTATGAACGATCCAGTGAGTCTAATCTAAGTTGCCCGCTAGAGATCGACTTACGAACTGCTATCCATTGGTCTTTCTATATTAGTGCAAGACTTCACTCAGCTGTTCACCTTATCATTGTCTCTCCAAGTCTTCACGATCGCCTGGTTCTCCTAGACTTGGTCACCCTCTAGCAAGTTTCATCTAGCTTTTAGTTGTCTTTCACTATTATTCATATACCAACAAAGCGTTCTTTATATAAACATTACCTTTAATAGACAATATTTGCGTTTATCAATTAATAAAGATAAATAAATATTATCTTAGAGAGATCTTCCCATTACCCATATATTTTAGGAGTTTCTAGTTGCAACTTCACCTTGAGCTGAAACACTGTTCAGATCCCTATAAATACTGCCACAATCACTCATATGCAAAACCATTGGAGATTTATCAAATGTAGCTTCTTTATTGGCAATAGGTGAATTTAATTTTGAGAACCACAACTAATAACTCCGCTCACCTTGTACAAAGCTTAGGAACATGCACTTTCTTACCCTCTCAAGCTTAACATAACTCACTCGAACATGAACGGACAATCACACATTTCAAGAACAAAATAATTAGCAATGTCATCTAACCACACTTTTTCGGGAGTCTGACCTCCAATCGCAGTCGATAGGAATCCATTCATCAGGTAACTTCCCATACTAAGTGCATTCGCCAGAAATTTCCTAGCCATATCATCATTAGAGAGTATTTTATGGGTCCTAGCAATGTTCTGTTGATCAACTCTGTAAGTTGTTGTGGTTCACTGTCACTAATGCTGTGTCTCATTATGCTTTTCTTCATGCAAAATTTATTTAACAGCTTCGAACAAAACTCTATACTACTGTTAGTTCGAATATGTTTGATCTTCTTATGAATCTCCATTTTATTAAAGCTCTCAATTGCTTGATTCTGACAATAGCATCAAACTTATGCTTCATCACAAAGACTCGGGTGCTCCTCGAGTAGTCATCCATCACTCTTAGCATAAATCTAACACTCTTCCTCGAAGATAATCGCGACACCCTGCAAATATCTTAATGAGTCAACTCTATAATCTTCGTGGTTTTCTAATAGTCATACTGAACTGCACTATCTACCGTTTGTCTAAGTTGCAGCACTTGCATATATTCAGCTCCTTAGCCACATAACTACATAGCAGATTCTTTCGTCAACATCTTTTGGCTTCTCTTTTTAATTTGTTCCATACATATATGCCACAATTGAAACTCTCAAGCAGATTTATTTGACGTCTGCACGGCAAAACCGATCACCATCACCTATTGAAGCACATACTAGTCACTGTGCTTGATCCCTTTTACTATCACCAAGACATCTGGAACGGCTTTAAAACTCCACCTTTCGAAAGCATATCGACACTTAGATGATTCTAGGGCACTCAAGGAAAAGGGGTTCTCCTTCAACTTTGGAACATACTTCACTCAAGTCAATGTCCTCACGATACCATCGTGCATTCTAATTCTAAAAACACCCATAACACTATCGTACTCTACATTATTCCCCAACTGCACTTTACCACTACCACTATTTGTTCACTAATAAGTAGTAAAACCGGTACTTTTTTAGTATAGCGTGAAACGAACATCCATAATCTATAACCATCCGTCAAATAGTGAACTCTTAGTGGTAGAAAAGATATAATAATCACTTTTCGTGACACTTTCAGCTATTGCAGTAATATCATAAGTAGACTCAATCTAATTCTTTTACCTTTCTCATTTATCAACTTAAGGCAATCTGTTTTGAGATGCCCCCTTTTATAACAATTTCAAAAGATAACACCACACATCCTAGACTAACTTTGTTTGTTTGGGTTCACACTAATCTTGCTAACAAAGTACTAGATCTTCCTCCACCTTCACCTACTAAATCAACAGTCATTGGTTTACTAAATTCTTTTCTACGGATGCCTCACTTAGAATCAAATCGCTAACCTTATCACATATCAAGCTTCTAGAGAAAAAGGTATTATTAACAGCAGTAATAGTAGTATTTCAACATCAAGTAATGAGAATAATATAATCAAAGTACGTACCTTATCATTAAAGTCAATCTCGGTCGAACTCAATTGACTAATGACCAAATTGAATTCATCGATATGCTTAGCATCCGACGCACCTGCGCCCATCTATAAATGAAATAAACTTGCATCAAGTAAACCTTGTTAATCATAGAGGGCTTCTTGTACATGTTCGACAAATCATTCATCAATCTCGTAGCGGTCTTCTCTTTCACGATGTTAATTGCGAAATTACTAGCCAACGTCAGCCGGATAACACCCAACACCTATCTATCCAGTAAATTCCAATCAGCTTGCTTCTTCGCCTATGGCTTCTCATACTTGTTCGATAAGGCATTCATCGATCTTGCAGTCATCTTCTCTTTCACGATGTTAAACGCGACCTTACAGGTCAACGATAGTCGAATGATACCCATCACCTATCTAGCTTTTAGAACCCAATTATCTTACTTCATCCACTTTGGCTTCTCCTCAAATAGGGGTATGTACAAATTCCTTTGATACAGGTAATTCTCAATTTGCATATTCTATAATCCGAATCCTCCCATCAAATCTATCAATTTTCATTTTTCCTTCTTCTGTTGCCATCGATTCGCTCAACTCAGCTAAGCTTGGGCCTAATACTAATTGTTGCAAAAACAATGGGATTGTACACAACCATAAGCAGAATAAGAAAATAAATCGAATATTGGATTTACATGATTTGATCAGTGTGACCAATTTCACGGGGAGAGTAACACGTAATTCCACTATACATACAATGATATATTGAAAATTACAACCACACTCAAGTCACTGAAACACTTATATTGTTTTCCAGCCCTCAATTATAAGCCAATAACTTTATGGGCTCAAACTCAAGACACATTTTCAAAATATTCAACACACTAAATTTACTCCAACAATGCAGGAGCAAGATTACGTCAACAGGCTCATCCTCCAATTTTATCCCCACAGCACGCATATCGCGACGATGGGCAAATGCCTACACGTCTTGGACGTCCTCAGGAAGAACCTTCTGCTCCTCGAGACAATGCCCAACAGGGACCTGCTCGACCTGGACTGCGTGAGGCGTGAGAAGGGTCAGGAGATAATCCGGTCGGCCACTGAGCTGAAGGAGGCTGGGATCCAACTGAAGAAGAGCGAGACTCGCTGCGTCAAGGACATCTCCTTTGCCGATGGGGTCCTGAGGCTTCCTGTTATCATGGTGGACGATTGCACCGGGCCCATGTTCCTCAACCTAATGACGTTCGAGCGCTTCCATTTTGGGGCCGGGAACAAGGTCACGGCCTACATCTTCTTCATGGACAACATCATCGACACCGAGCAGGACATCGCGCTACTCCGTACGCAGGGCATCATCCAGAATTTCCTCGGGAGCAACAAGGAGGTCGCCGACCTTTTCAACTCGCTGACCAAGGACATGACGGTCTTTCTCGACGAAGGTGACGAATCTGTGCAAAAGAAGATCACCGAACACTGCGAGAAGTCCTGCAACATGTGGAGGGCTAATCTCATGCACACCTACTTTAGGAATCCTTGGTCTATATTGTCCCTCATCGCCGCCCTCTTCCTTTTCGCCCTCACCATAATTCAGACCGTATATTCCGTGCTCGGCAACTACAAATGAACCCTCCCATTGCCTCCCCTCTCAATAATTCTTCTTTTCCATTTTGTGGTTTTTCTCTTGATGGCTGATGCTCGATAATTGTCTTTTGATTGGTTGTTGATTGTTGTTATTGATGATTTTCCTCCTGTTTTCAGACGTGCTCATTTCCCCCTTTAAATGTTTTGAATGATGGACATTTGGCTGTTTATTTATCATTACCAAGTGATGATTCTCTTTTTTCAGTCTTCTTCATGTTGGTCCAATTTGGATAGGTAGTCTGAAGGATAATCAAGTTTAGGCAAATGAAATCTTCCGTTGCAATATTTTCTTCTTGATTAATTTGTAAAGAAGTGCAGCAAAATTAAATGGAAAACAAATGTGGCCTTCAAAGTCATCTCTAATTTTGACCAAAAAGAAAACTCATCTCTAATCCCATTGGCTTCAAAATTTAAAGGAATCTATATATTTCCCAATTGCCAAACAATCAATCATCAACGACAAACCACCAACATACTTTACTCCTGAGAAACAAATATTTTTGAAACTTCCAACATCCTTCCTGAAAACTTCAAAGTAATATTAAATATGAATGAGAGACATATCGTTTTAAATTGAGTTTAGTGCAAATATTCTATTATGTTTTGAATTGTGCATGATTTCAATGTGATCTCCCGAGTCCGCACTTTCTTTGTCCTTTTGTATTTGGGAAAAAGAAGTTGGGGGGAAAGAACATAAGGATGTAAATTGGAGAAAAGGAAGATAGGAGAAAAGAGAGATTTTGGTTGAAAGAGAAAAGGACAATTAAAAGAAGAAAATAAAATGGAGGAATAGGGAATACTGAGAGTCCCTTCCCATGTTTCCTAAGTTCCCTCCTGTTGTTTTTCTTCTTGAGAGAGTAGGAATACGCAGAGAACTTACAGGGAATATCCTCCCAACATATTGGGGAATCATTTTCCCTGTCTCGCCTTGAGCTTTCTAAGGACTTGCTCAAGTCCAAAATTGAAGAAAATGAAGATAGGAGAAAAGAGAGATTTTTGTTGAAAGAGAAAAGGAAAATTAAAAGAAGAAAAGAAAATGGAGGAACAGTTAGTTTGAGAAAAAGTTTCAAACTGTCATACTTTGTTTTTATATATGAATACGTCTTATTAACTTTAGAATTTGGACTAGAATCTCCTCACTCTCCTAAAAAATAAATATGACGGAGATCATAGGTCAAAGAGAGAAATCTGGTAACGGAGTGAAAAGTGAAGAGTGAAAAGTGGTCCAACCCAATTTAAAATTCAATAAAAGCAGGGTTGGGTTGTGGAAGTAATCAAGAGCAGGTTTGAGCTAGCTTGTCTAGTCCTTTTGAATTGACATGAATTATCTATCTCGTACGATACTCCTCTCAATGCTTCAACAAATCTCAACAACTGATTTATGTAGATAAGGCATATATCAACGGTTGAGATTCGCCGATACACCAAAAGAAACACCGTTGGAATAAAAGATATTTGCCTCTTTTGAAATTCTTTGGCCCGTCTAAAATCATGACAATTTCCTGTATAAAACTTTTGATTGCACATGCAGTTTGTATCTACGAGCCTAGAGGCTTTCGGATATGCCTTGCTCTGAGAAGAAATTTTTGTCTGACCCGAGTCCATGAGCAAAAGTAGCGAACAACCTTTAATTAGTATTTTTGTTTTTGTCCTCCCACTAGAGCCTTCAATCGTTTATGAAAGAGAATTGAATGTGTTGTACGGGCGATAAGGACTCGAAATGGGTCATCAATATTCGTAATTAGAACTTGAGGCTTAAGATGGATGTTGTGTAACATATCTCAAAGAGTGAATAAAAATGGCTAGTATAAAAAGTTATGGAATGTAACAATTCAGATAGTTTAAAAAGAGTATGAAGTCAAAGTCATGTTAGGGATACTAAAACTGAAATGAAAAATTGATTCCCGAAACGATGTATTAATGTGTTCGGTTTATGGAATTAGTTGCTCTTATATTAGATCAACATTTTTCATGAGATATTTGTGTTTAATGTTTATAGCAATTATAATGAATTCAAGCTCTTCCAGATTGGAGCTCATAAATGCTCATGGCTGATTCTGTATAAATGTCGAATTCCCCTTACACTTCACGATCAATCATTACGGCATCCAGTATTATTCTCGCACTCCACGTTTCACCTAGTTAATCACAACGCTTGCCAATGTGATCAATCCAGGAAAAGATTGAGCAATGACTCGAAAAGTTAAAGAAAATTTCTTCCTTGAGAAAGGGAGGGGGAGATTCAGTTGGAGTCCAATACTCTCTGTCAGGCACGTATCAACCATATAATAACGAAACATGTACAGTGGGAAGCACGGGTACCACATTTTGGCCACGAAAATGGCACGTCCAGGATCACCACAATCAGAAACCGAAACACATTAATGGAGAAATTATCGATTCGCATACCTGATTTGGAATCCATCGAACTTGACGCGGAATTTGTGACGGTTTCCGAACACGAACGCAAGTGCTTCTCCCCTATACCCTTCGTTAGAACACTGGCCTAATGAGATTGCCACTCACGAGAAGAAAGTTCTCTCTAGATCCGTATGTGAGTCAAATTGTGCATCATCAGGTTAGGGGAGGGACTTGAGCGCTATTTATAGAGTCTTCGATAACAGGCCCTCTCATTACGGTCCGGGCCGTACTCGGGCCACACCAGCCAGCCCCATATTAGACTTATTAAGAACCCATATATCTTACCTTTATTATACCAAACTAATTCAGTTAATTTCAATTAATGAAGCCCACATTAGGAAATTCTTACATTCTCCCACTTGGGCGATATTAATTAAAACAGAACTGTGTGCGCACCCTTATATTGGTCTAGAGATTATTCTTAATAGTCAATCCGATCCCATAAAGTCTCGAACATCGAATCATGGCGGTAACTACATGTACTCACGCAGAGCCTTTCATGGTCACGAGTGTTTTCAACTTTACTGATATGGATTCAATATGGTAGTGTGTCAAATGGACAATACCTCATAATGAGTGATACTTCATGTGTTGTCCATTTTGTTAGTCCAAATTCTCTCTCCTTAAGTGTCACAAAACCTAGTGTGTCACCAGAGAATATCCTTCATGGTTCCAATGAACCTGCATATGTCTTACCTTGATAGTTAACTGTACTTTATATGTAACAAGACACATCGTTAAGGCTAATATCAAGAATGTCTCATAGCCTGTACTCAAGGTTTACACAATGCCTCGAGATTTTCATCAAATATGTGTACTCAACTTGATAAATCTATATTCACAAATACCTCATTGAATGCAAAAGAGTTGATACATATTCAAATATTACAAAATGTAACAAAATCAAATACAAACTTCATAAGAGCAACATAAAACTAAACAGCTCCCACTAATTAACAGTATCCCATGATACTCCTAAGCCCATGTTCATGACATGTCGATCAAATACACAAGGGCGAAGGCCTTTAGTTAGCGGATCTGCAATCATATTATCTGTTGAAATGTGCTCTACAGCAATGTCACCAGTCTGAAATTTTTCCTTTATAGTTAGGTACTTGACCTCCATATGCTTAGATCCCTTGAGACCTCTGTTGTTGTTAACAAATAACATTGCAGAGTTATTGTCACAATACAATTTATGGGCCTATCCACAAAATCACATACGGTCAACTCCTTAATGAGGTTCCGGAGCCAAATTACCTGAGTAGCGACCGAAAAGCATGCTACAAACTCCGCTTGCATCGTAGAGGATGTCATTGATTTCTGTTTCTCACTTTTCCATGATACTGCACCTCCTGCTAATTTAAAGATGTAACCCGTTGTCGACTTCTTTTCATCTTGACAGCCAGCAAAGTCTGAATCCGAATACCCGACCTGCTGTAGGTCCTGAACATATTTGTAAATCAGCATATAGTCTTTTGTCCTCTTTAAGTACCTTAAAACCTTCTTGGCAGCAACCCAATGATCGTGTCCTGGATTTGACTTATATCTACCTAGAAGTCCTGTTGCAAAGGCAATATCTGGTCTAGTACATACTTGAGCATACATAATACTCCCAAGTGCACTAGCATAAGGTACATTCTTCATTTGGGCTTTCTCAAAATCTGAATGAGGACATTCTGACAGACTCAACTTATCACCCTTAATGATAGAAGTAATTCCTGGCTTGCATTGCTGTATGTTGAATCTTTCTAAGATACGATCAACATATACCCTCTGAGATAAACCCAATAGTCGGCGAGAACAATTTCTATGAATCTCAATGCCAAGGACAAAAGACGCCTCACCAAGATCCTTCATATCAAAGTTCTTTGACAACATTCGCTTTGTCTCATGCAGTAAACCAAGGTCACTGCTCGCAAGCAGGATATCATCCACATAGAGTATAAGGAAAATGAATTTCCTCCCACTGACCTTGCAGTATATATATTGATCTACTTTGTTCTCAACAAAACCAAATGAAGCGACAACACTATGAAACTTCAAGTACCATTGTCTAGGAGCTTTCTTGAGACCATAAATAGACTTTTTCAATCTACATACAAGCGTACTTGAATCATCTGCCGCAAAGCCTTCGGGTTGCATCATATAGACTTCTTCATTAAGGTCTTCATTGAGAAAGGCAGTTTTAACATCCATCTGGTGTAACTCCATATCGAAATGAGCTACCAATGCCATGATCACTCTGAAAGAATCTTTAGAAGAGACTGGAGAAAAAGTTGCTTCATAGTCTACTCCTTCTCTTTGAGTGAAACCTTTGGCTACCAGTCTGGCTTTAAACTTCTCAATCTTTCCTTTGGAGTCCCTTTTAGTCTTATACACCCATTTACAGCCAATGGGTCTATGACCTTCATGTAATTCAACAAGTTCCCAAACACCATTATGCTTCATAAACTGCATTTCATCTTTCATTGCATCCAACCACAGTTCCGACTGAGGACAAGAAACAGCTTCCGCATAAGTCACTGGATCAGCCACAGAATCGATATCGTAGTCTTGCTATCCTATAAAGACTAAATAGTCCGGTGGTATAGCTGATTGTCTCTCCCTAATGGATC